GTATGTCCTGGAGCACTGTTAGCAATCAGCAAGCCACAGTGGTGTTTTAACAGCAAGGTCGAGGGGAAGTAGAAAGAGAGACCGGCCAACAGCACTGTCACCCAGGTTGAAGGCAGGCACACCCAAGATGGCACAGCCCTTCTGGTGTCAAATCCCTCCACCTGCTTCTCTGTATATGTTTTTCTAGTTTGATTTATCCCCCTGAATGAAATTTCCTTTCTGTTTGGTCTTTTGGATACTTGTAAAGTAGATGGTTGGAGCATTCTCCCTGTTGCAATCATTTTTATCAATAAAGGCTTTCCTTTATACAAGACAGCTGGTTCCATGAAGTCAACAGTTAAAGTTATACAGCATCTGTCCACAGGGCCAATTCTGCCATTTGCACTATTAACAACACTAGGCTTCCTTCCAATCAATGCCATCCATATCACTGCCCTCCAGATATCTGAAGGCCATGACACCACAGCTTGTCCACGATCAGCACAAGCAGGTGCCTGCATCCTGAAACGCTCACCCTGCCCCACATGAAAACAGAAAGTGTGGCCTTTGAGTCCCTGAGTATGACCGGCGATGGCCCCGAGATCACATTTGGACAAGTCCCTGCTCAAATGTGCTGAGGAAGGAAGCACCTATATCACCAAGGGTGGTCACTTGCTGTTGATGAGGATATGGAACTTTACAGGAAAGAGCTGAGGGTGAAAGGCATAAAGGGAAGGAATCTTTACTTCCAGTTGAAGCTAAATAACTGAAGGAGGGCTGGCAAGTGCGGCATCTTCTGTCTCAGCGCTGTCTCCAGTTCTGGCTTCCCTTGGCTTCTGGGAAACCATCAGCCAGCCCTTCTTGGGACCAGCCAGCTGACACACTGCAGCCAGTTGTTATGGAAACAGGGCTTAGAGAGGCTTTTTTTTTTCTTCTTGTTAAAAGAACTTTCAATTCAAAAAAGCAAAACAAAACAAAACAAAAATTCATAAGCAAGCCTAGTTTTCTACATTCCTGACTTGAGTGGCAAGACTGGCACCTGGGCTACAGAAATCTGACTTCCCAAACCACCAACAAATCAGCCTTCTTTAAATAAGACTCCCTAGGAAAAGGTTCCCCGGTTCCTGGGAGCCCTGGTTGTTAAACCCACTCGTTTGGCCACCCTGACCCTGTGAGTGTGCTAAAAGCACAGACTGTATTTCACTGACCTGTGCCCCTGCAAACCTGCAGCAGCAATGTTGGCTGGAGAATGGATGTGACCAGAGGAGCCTGGAGGGCTTTCCCTCTCTCCTTCTAGGGCCTTGTCCCTCACTGGAAGGAGTTCCCTGAGGGCAGGCTCAGCGATGGGTACCTCAGAAGATCCCTCAGTCTCACAGAAGTCTCTAACAGGGCGCCAGACAGCTCACACTCCTGCACACACACCACTGACCCAGAGATAAAATAAAAACACCTTTGGAGGTTATGACTGTAACAGAGGCAAGGTTGTTGAAAGAATTGCTAGCAGGTGTTTCCTTAGTAGTCAAGGAGAGATGTATTCCAGCCAAGTGGTTTTGATGCTGCTTTTAATAAACTCTAAACTCCTCAAATTGGATTTATTTCACAGCATTCACTATAGCAGAGCTTTTATATCAGGATTTATCTGAGGGCAATGTTCCCTGATCCATCTATGATCAAACACAGCAAAGGTTCAGGAAACTAAGTATCTTGTAACCATGCTATTTATCTGGTAGAGCTCATTACATAAATCTTAAACACAAAGTTTATATACTGCATACATTTATACAATACATATTTCTAATGATGAGGGTTTGGTGCAGATGTTAAGGCACCATTTGGGGTACCCACATCCCACAATAAATATCAGCTCTGCACTGGATGAAAGGTTCTAACCAGTGCAGACCCAGAAAAGCTCAAGTAGATGGGCTCCTGCAACCCATGTGGGATCCTGCTTCCTGGATTCAGCCTGGTTAAGTCTTGGCTGTTGAAGGTTTTTGGGGAAATTAATAAGCAGATGGGAGATTTCTGTCTCCTATCAATTTTTCTGCTTTCCAAATAAATTTAAATAGCTGATTTTAAAAAATATTTACCCAAGAGCTTTTGTAAACAGTTTCTCAAATGCAATATGCCTGTGATAATAGGCACCTGTGCAAGGTGCCACACTCTGAGGTGCAACTGCAGAGTGGAACAGTGACACCCTAAGAAGTGACTTCTACAGGACACACAAGCTAGCAGAGCCCTAAAGAACATGCTCCTGTTTGCTCAGAAATCAAGTTCCTGGCAGGACCAATGCTGTCAGCCAAGTCATCACACATATCTCTTAGCTGTTGGCCCACGAGATGCTGCCTATATCAAGAACATGGCTGCTTCCTTTGTCCTCCTCACACGTGTCACTTGGGAGTCACTGTTCACCAGAAATGACTGCTTCTTCCATTGTCAGGACCACTTTGGGAAGGGAGACTGCAACTCACCAATGAGAACACGAAGGGATGGGGAGGGGAGCTTCAAAAGTTCATGAAAAAACAAAATGAAAAGGTAAGTTTTTTGACACAACAATGTGAAATCAGTGTATAACTTCCATAATATGCAATTTTCCATGAACTTTGTGAGGACTCTTCATACCAGTGTATGCGTGCGCGCGCGCACACACACACACACACACACACACGGCTAATAAAATAATAATTACGTATTGAGCTTCACCATGATCTTGATGAAACTCAGCGTTGCTAGAGCAGCGCAAACCAGGAGCTTATTGTGAGATAATGCTTATTTCTGAGATTGATAATTATTTAGCAAATGTAATTGTGTCACAGATTTTGTTTCCACTTTAACCTGCTAACAGAGTGTAGGAGAGTAACTCACTGTTTGGCAGAGGCCCCTGATGGGACTTTCACCAGACTAATAGCACACGAACCAAGCTCAGTCATTTCCAAATGCCGCATCTCCAAGGGCTCTCACACGCAGCATACGTCCAGCTGAACAGTGACCACCAGGTTACCTGTTGGCCTTTCTCACTAAATGCTGAGCTCCCTGAGCTCAGAGACTGTATTCTTCATCTGTAGTCCATGGATTAGCTAATTACTGTGTATAAAGACTTGTGCGTGGTTTTAGTCAACGATATCAAAGTAACAAGATGAAGTGAGGGACGGGGCTTCAGAGTCAGGAAACCTGGGTTAATGGCAGCTGGAATCCTTACTATGCACCAAATACAGACTTGGGTGCTTGGCGAGCTTTCATTTAATCTACAGGACAACTGAGAGAGGAAGCATCACCCCTTTGTGTAAGTGGGAAAAGACTATTTTATTCAAGGTCACTCAGATAAATGAGTAACTTTTTGGAAGTAAATTTGGTTGTATTCATAGCACTTTAAAAAATGTTTATTTACTTATTTTCATCAATTTGAAAGAGGTGGGGGGGGGAGAGCGAGAGAGATTTGGATTGATCTTTTATCCACTGGCTCATTCCCCAAATGTCTCCAACTGCCAGAGCTGCACTGGGCCAAAGGAAGGAGTCCAGGCAGGAGTTCTGGCTCTCCCATGTGGGTAGCATGGCCCAAGTGCTGAGTCATCTCCTGCTGCCATCCAGAAGCAGAGCAGCCGGGACTCCAACCACGGTTCTCATAGGAAACGTGGGCATCCCAAGCAGATACTTAAGCCTCTATTCCACAACTTCTACCTCGGAATTTAAAATCAACTTATAAAGAGCCTAACTAACTTACTTCCTTTCTGAGAGAGAGAGAGAGAGAGAGAAAGGGGTGGTAGAGATGAGAGACAGAGTTCCTATCCACGTTCACTTCCCAGCGACCTGAATGAGCCATGACTGGGCTGAGGCTGAAACTAGGAGCCAGGAGCTCACTGCAGGTCTCTCACACGGGTGGCAGGAATAGTCACCCGAGCCTCGCCACGTGTGCCAGCAAGAGGCCGAGTCGGCAGGAGTCAGCACTGGGGCTCATGGCCAGGCACTTTGGTGTGGGATGTGCACATCCTGACTGTGAGACTCACTGCCTGTGCCTAGACACATGCACAGGCAGGCAGAGGGCTATTAATGGAAAATTTCAACCAAAAACACTCACCCTCTGGATTGAGCGCCACCCCGACGCATTCCCCTCCCCCTCCCTGACTCTAGCTCCTTCCCTCCCAGAGTGACAGCTCGGAGGACAGCAGTCACCGCCTGTGTCAGCAGCATCTGTCCTTGCTGCCTTCACAAGGGTAAAAAGAGACCAGGCGCAGTGCGCCACAGGGCTTTTCAGACAACATGTTTTCTTTCTATTCTTTCTTCTTTTGAAAGACTTTCAGAGGATTCTCAGGCAGTGAAAAGGAACCCATTTTTGGCACACTGCTTCAAAGCTAAAAGCCACTGTTGGTCAACACAGCCAGCAAGCTGTTATTTCTCTTCTACAGTTCTTGGCTGCCATGGGTGCTGGCTGAAGTAACTTTTTAAAGAAGGGCAAAGAGAGGAAGCATTTCAACTATCAGAGAAAGAGACATAGCAAAAGAAAGCACAGTGCAAACGACCTTCTGCTTACTGTGCCTCACCCACACTGCAGCAGCAGGGGAAGGAACCCACCAGCTCTGACCTGAGCCCCAGCTGGGCCCCACTCTTCACAGACTACCAGCACCCACCAAATTACAGGCCAAATCTACTGAAATGTTCACATCTCAGGCACAGCAATCTGCAGGGATGACCCATGATTAAGAAAAACGACAAGGCTTTCCTGCTGGAGTATCTTTCATCTGCTTCTACTCCATGACACCAGGACCCCATACCAGGCGCATAGTAGGGGCCTCTGGAACATAGAGGGTCCTCAGTTGCCAAGAGACCAATGCCCATCCCAAGCCCTGCCTGCCTTCTCTGAAAGAGCCATGGAGTCCCTGGCAACATGTAATTCAAGTACCCAATAGCAAAGCTGCTTTGATGGAATTAAGATGATTAAAAATCATTGTCATTTTGAGAAAAGTGTTCCCAGGGGAAAATAAACACAGACAAGAAGGCATTGCGCTTTGCCTTCAAAACTCACTCACCTTCTTAGCGGCAGGATCCCCTCTGGGTGGGTGATATGATGGAGACATTTTTACCTGGGGGGAAAAGCAAATGTTTCACTTTCCTTTTAGTTGTAATCTAGTTTCATTTGACCCACATTCAAAATAATTCAATTAGAATTGGGAGAACTGAGATCAAATAGACATTTTCAGATAAACAATTAATAGACTTTATGCTAAGCACCCTTGATATTTTCCTGGAGATCAAAAGAGTCAGTAGTGAGCCAAGATAAAAATATAATTAGAGTAAGGAAAATGAGGAAAATGGTACAAAATTTTAAGAAAATGGTGAGGAATTAGAGAGGTATGTTAAACATCTGTGAGGTAACACTGATGAACCGAAGCTGTAATTAATGGTCAGCAGTTCTTGCTGAGGGCAACTCTGAGTGCCCTTTGCAATGTAAGATCCCCTTATATCACAGCAAGCACAGAGGAGTTTGATAATAACAGTGAAGGATTTAGGAACAGTATTAGCCAAATAGTGATAAAGCAACGTTTAGGCCAAGGAAGAACGGCTGATGGTACAGCAATATCCTCAAATATTTACAAGGGATACAGATTGTAAGATTAGATAAATGAGTAGGACTCAACCACAGGCTGCCGAAAGAAATACACCATAAATACGATGACGCAAATAGGCTAAAAGGAATAGGATGGAAGAGGTATGCCATGATAGCCTAGATTTCAGAGCAAGAGCAAAAGCCAAAGTGGAATGCATATTCTTTTCAAGTGCACATGGATTAGATTTCTGGAAGAGTTCCCAAATGTTTGAAAAACGAAGTAAAATACTTTCAAAAGCCTACAGGTCAAAGAAGAAATCAAAAGAAAATTAAATGTTAGAACTAGACAACCTGCCAAGACTGAATCACAGAAAGTCTGAAAGGCCAGTAACTAGTAAAGAAATTAAATTGGTAACTAGAAACAAAACAAAACAAAAAACAAATCCTTCCAGCAAAGACGACCAATGGCCAGCTGGTGTCACTGGTGAAGTCTACTAAATCTTTTTTAAAAGAATTGATACGGGCCCGGCGCGGTGGCGCAAGTGGTTAAAGGTCCTCGCCTAGCACGCCCGGGATCCCATATGGGCGCCGGTTCTAATCCCGGCAGCCCCGCTTCCCTTCCAGCTCCCTGCCTGTGGCCTGGGAAAGCAGTCGAGGACGGCCCAAAAGCTTTGGGAACCTGCACCCGCGTGGGAGACCCAGAAGAGGCTCCTGGCTTCGGACCGGCATAGTATCGGCCCATTGCGCTCACTTGGGGAGTGAATCATCGGACGGAAGATCTTTCTCTCTGTCTCTCCTCTCTCTGTATATCCGCCTTTCCAATGAAAAAATAATAAAAATAAATCTTTAAAAAAAAAAAAAGAATTGATACAAACCCTTTTCAACTTAAAAACAACAATAAAAAACAAAACCTACAAAAGGAGGAAATATGTCCTAGCTCACTCTATAAATCTGCATCAAACGGATACTACTGTGTTCTTAATTTTTGACACATCAGCTTTCATTTGATTTATTTCCTGTGTTACATATTCTTTAAATTCTTTGAACTCCTGTATTATGCATTTCTCTTTTTTTTTAAATTTTAAAATGTTAATATTGAGGTAGCTTATGTGACACAGTGTTGTGGGCACTGGGATTCCCCCCACCCCTTCCCGAACCCTTTCCCCATGGTGGATTTCTCAACCTTGCTGCGTTACCACAGTTCAAATTCAGTTGAGGTTCTTTCATTGGAAATATTTTCCAAGCATAAAGTCCAGAGTCTTATTATCCTAGTGGGTTCAACGATTTCTTGGTGAGACCATCTCTGGTCTGAAGGTAAAGCCAGCAAATTATCATCTCAATCAATTAAAAGCCCGAACATAACATCGACAACCATTTACAACCTTATGGCATTAATTGACATGGTATTGATTAATAGTATGTTAATAGGAAGATGCGGTTTCTTAACTACATCCTGTGACTTCTTCATAGACAGTGTTGATAAGCAGTTTTATAACAAGTGTTTTGAATTCTGTATTCCTCATTTTCTTAATGTCTTCCTCAGTGAACTCTGAAGTTGGCAAAGGGTTTTGCTCCATTGCAGGGGAGTCTTCAGTAATATTCATTGTGCCCCTGTCTCTTCTTTTGCTCTTGGTCATTGTACTTCTGGGTAGCTGATTCTTCTCCTTGGGGCAGGTTTCTAAGCTCTGTCACCACAGGTCTAGTGTTTGATTTTACTTATTGCAGCTGGTACACGGCTCTTTGCAGTACTTGTGCCACTCCCTCCAGCAAGTTCCAGGTCTGGGCTCTTACGTTAGACTTCCACCATGGTCTCCACAGCTCCAGTTTCTGGCTTTCCAGTCTCTACCTCCCGTGACACTGCTGAAGCTGCACCGTTTTCTCTACAAGCTTTCTCTCCCTTCCAATTAGAGCAGTTCCCAGGATTAGGGAGATACCAGATGTCCTATATAGCTAGGTTGTTGGAGGTGCTAATCTTGTTGGAACCTGCTGTTAAGTTGGAGGGCTGCACAGACCTATTTTGACCCATACAATGCCGTAGTTGGTATTATTTTCCTGTGGGACAACTGCAATGCACTGAGCTCACTGAGTTCACTCCCAACTCAGTGCATGCACAGCTCACTGTTGTCCCTGCAGTCTTAAAGCCTTTGCCACACTGTACAAAATGGTGCCTGATGTGCCACTGTTAAGTTTTTAATCTGCTGGCCTCAGGTCTGAGGGCTACTGGGACCTACCTTGGGTGTAACCTTCAGGATGCCACATTGTTGCAGTTCACTGAACCAGAATGAGTTCATTCCCAACTCAGCGCATGCTCAGTACTATCCGCAGCCATTGCCTCCCTATGCAAAATGGCACCTGATTCAGCTCTATGGCATGAACTGTGCTGTGAAAGCTACCCTGTTCCTGCACTGCCCATCTGGGTCCTGCATCTCTGTCTCTGCTCCTCGTCAAAGCACACAGGGCAGCAGTACGGACAGTTCTTTGTTTGGATTCACCTCCCAAGCTCCCAGTCAAAGTCCCTTCCCACCTTGTTGTTGGTGTAGTTCTGGCTTCTCCTGTAGCTCAGATCACTGCTCTCTGAATGCCGCTGGGTATCAGTCACTGCAACACCACACTGTGTCTGCTGCTTTCCTGTGTCTGTCAGTCTCTAGGCACCCCTTTACTGTTGTTCTATCCTTTCCTTTTTGCTGGAATGTGCCCTCTCTGCTTCAAAGTGGCTACTGTTTCTCCATCTTTTAAATGTGTCCTTACCCTATTTTGCCATCTTGATTCTCCCCGGTTTTTTTTTTTCCTAGATTTTTTTTTATTGGAAAGTCAGATATACAGAGAGGAGTAGAGACAGACAGGAAGAGCTTCCATCCAATGATTCACTCCCCAAGTGGCCAAAGCTGCTAGAGCTGTGCCAATCTGAAGCCAGGAGCCTCTTCTGGGTCTCCCACATGGGTGCAGGGCCTCAAGGCTTGGGCCGTTCTCCACAGCTTTTCCAGGCCACAAGCAGGGAACTGGATAGGAAGCAGGGCCACTGGGATTAGAACCAGCACCCATATGAGATTCCAGTGCATGCAAAGTAAAGATTTTAGCCACTAGGCTACCACACTAGTCCCCCCTTTTTTAATGGATGAAGGACTTAGATATTCCTCCAAAGGAGATATCAAGATGGCTAATAAACACAGGAGGAGGCACATTATTAGCTACTCAGAAATAAGCTAAAACCTCAATGCAATACCACTATGTATATTTTATAGCAGCCAAAACTAAAAAGACTGACTAAATCAAGAATATGTAGGAAATGAAATCTTCAATAATTGTTAATGGAAAAGTAAAATAGAACTACTTTGGACAATAGTTTTTGCAGTTTCTTAAAAACATAAAACACATGTGTCATACAAGTACCCATTTTCCAAAGGAAATTAGAGTATGTTTACACAGACTAGTATGTACATCTTCATGACAGCTTTATCTGTTAATAGCCAAAACTAAAATAATCCAAAGGTCTGCAAACAGGTAAAATGATAAGCAAATTATTGCTCTTCAGATAATATGGATATAATATGAATATGGATACAATAGGGATGAATGTCAATCAGCTCATTGAAACAAGTCAGATCAGTGCTCGCTTCGGCAGCACACATACTGAAAGAAGTCAGATCAAAAAACATACTTTGTTTTGTATACGTACTTTAAACTAAGATTCTAGAAAATGAAAAATAATCTGTTGAGATAAAGCTAATCAGTAGTTGCCATGAAACAGGAAAAAGGAATTGAGAACATTTTTGATAGTGTAATTTTATAGTCTATACCCTATTTTATATCAATTATTAATTGAAAATAGTGCTTAAAAATTTGTAGGGTGTAGATAACTGTGGTTAGAAAGAAATCTGTAGCTTTATAGCCTATATTGGAAAGTAGGAAAGGCTTAAAACAAAAGACCTACATTTCTAATTTAAGGAACAAGGAAAAGATCAATGGGCTAGCACTGTGGTGTGGCAAGCTAAGCTGCCACCTACCATGCTGGTGACTCATGTGGGTGCCAGTTAAGAGTGTTGGCTGGTCCACTTTCAATCCAGCTCCCTGCTGATGCGCCTGGGAAAACACGAGAGGATGGCACAAGTCCTTGGGCTGCTACACCCATGTGGGAGACCTGGATGAGGCTACTGGATCCTGGCTTCAGCATGGCTCAGCCCCAATAGTCTCAGCCATTTAGAGGGTGAACCAGAATATGGGAGGTCTCTCTCTCTCTTTTTTTTTTTTATCTCTCTTTCCCCCTTCATCCACCCTCTGTCTTTCAAACAAAGAAATAAATCTTATTAAAAAACAAGAAGAAGGCCATGATAAATCCAAACTAAGTAGAGGAACTAATACAATGCTGGATCAGTTCAACAAAACTCAAAACCACAAAGATGAACAAAGCCAAAAGTCTGTTCTTTGAAAAGCTCAATTAAATTGATAAACTGCTACTAAGATTGATCAAGAGAAAGAGTAAAAATTATTGATAGCAATGAAAGACAATATATTACAACATACATCACTTACAGACAT